GAGACCGCCTCGGAGTGGCTACAGGACTTGCTCACGCAGAGAGAAATGTGCGTTTGCGTTTTAGACGAAGTGGGTTCAGTTAGGTGGAAAGATTTGGAAGGTTGGAAAGGGACGACAGTAAAAGTTTTGAACTTTACTACGCTAGAGGTGACCTTTGTATAGGCACTAGTAACCAAGGCTTGGGGGAGACCCTTTCTGTGTGGGCTAGTCAGGATCATAGTCGCTACTATGCCCCGATAAGCATTGACACGATACACACTCACGAAGGTTTCAGTCGGCTGATTGTTGATGTTTTGGAAGAGACTCTTCATGATCACGATCTTCATGTTGCGTTCCCTGTTGAAGCTTTGATTGAAGATCATATGGAGTTGGGTACTCTTGACACTGTTCCTTTAGGGGAGGATGTTGAAGGTTTGGACCTCAACTTTGTTGACCTGATGCAAGATCATGAGGATGACTTGTTGGATACCTTACCCCTCGCCGGTTTCCCTAAGGATGAGGCCGAAAGGCGTAGGGAGTGGGCTAAGGTTCCTAGGAAGGTGAGGATCGCAATTAGGCGACTTCACAACATGATGTCACACAAGCCAAAGGAAGTTTTATTGCAGGTTTTGAGAGGTTCAGGAGCTTCGGACGATATGATTAGGGCGGCAAAAGCATTCAGGTGCCCTACATGTGCTGTTTCACAAGAGATCCCGAAGACTCACCCTGTTTCCGCACCACCTTCCTATGTTTTTAACAAGGAAGTTTCAATTGATGTGTTCGAGGTTCAGGATTCGGACAGAACCAAATATCAGTTTCTTAACATGATATGTGTAGGTACTTGTTACCAAGTTGTTGCGTTGGTCAGGGTAGGAGAAGGACAACCTACCAGCGCGCAGTGTTTGAAAAAGTTCCAGAGACACTGGGTACAGTGGGCTGGATGGCCCGAATCTGTTTCAACAGATCGGGGATTGCACAATCGCGGTGCATTTGCAACCGGACTTTCGCAACATGGCGTTGTGTTGAGGCAAGCCGGTCTTGAAAGTCCAGAACACATCGGAAGATGTGAAAGGCACGGAGGTATCATTAAAAGAGCCTACCGAAGAGTGTGCAGACAGCACCACCTGCAAGGTAAAGAACAGGTGAAAGCAGCTATGACAGAATGCCAAGTTGCCAAGAATGAATTTGTGAGACACGGAGGATTTTCCCCGTCGCAATGGGTACTTGGAAGGCAACCTAGAGGCATAGGACATCTCTTGGATGAAGATGAACTAGGTCAGCTAGGAGTACTCAGTGGAGCGATGGACCCCTCCACAGCATTTGGACGCAGCATAGAGTACCGCCACACTGCGAGAAGAGCGTACCTACAGGCAGATACTTCAAGGCGAGCTAGAGCCGCCGTGCTGCGCAAGTCGGGACCACTACCAGGCAAGTACTCCGCAGGAGACTTGGTGTGCTACCGAATCGAAAGAGACTCGAGCGGTGTGCCTAGCTGGAGTGGAGTTTCCCGCATCATTGGTTTTGATGGGAAGACCGTCTGGGTAACGCACAGAGGCGTGCCCGTAGCAACTAGTTTAGGCAAACTCCGACCGTGTACTTCGGCGGAAGTTCTAGCTTATCAGATTTTGAGTAAAGGCAACTTACAGTACGAACACCTAGAATCTGAGAGAGAGCAGCAGCGATTTGTCGATGCACGAGCGCACGACAGTGATGCAGACGATGAAGAGGACAGTGACTCTGCACGTCCGTCTTCTGCCATACGCTCAAATCCTTTGGAAGGATTGAGGACAGTGAGAAGGAGAGTGGGACTTACTCCTGAAGAGTCACGGGCAGAGCCCCGTGTAGAGCCCACGATAGAAGAACCCGAAGTAGAAGACGCTCAACAGATGGATGAGCATACGGTGGAAGCCGTAGCAGAGAATGGTCCGCAACTTGACGCGGCGGACATTCCGGTTCCCGAAGAAGAGGACACAGCTGATGCTTTATTGGCACAGTTTAAGATTCCCACGTATGGATCGAAAGAGTGCAACAAGTATAGAGCTTTTGTGGCCGATCGAATAGACTCAGAAAGCGCCCGGAAGTGGTTGAAGAAAAGGAGCAGCTATTCTAACAAGAAGAAAGCTGCGCAGAACAAGGTGTTCACATACGAAAAGTGTTCACCAGAGTTGCAAAAGGGAATCGACGGATCCCGTAAGGTCGAATGGGACAAGTGGAAAGAGTTTAACGCTGCACTTGATCTCGATGAAGAGCAGTACCAGAAGCTTAAAGATGAAGGCCATGAGGAAGTACCGCTCAAGTGGGTTGACACAGATAAGAACGATGCACTTAGAGGCACGCAACCAGATATTGAAGTACGGCATAAAAGTCGACTCGTCACCAGAGGAGATTTGGAGTCTGGGGATATCCGATCGGATTCTCCGACGGCAGATATCGAAGCTCAGAATTTGATATTCAGCTTCGCCGCTTCGCGGAAGGTGAGAATAGGCTCAGCCGACATCACAAATGCCTATTTTCAAGGAGAGGAATTAGACAGAGTACTAATCCTCAGACAGCCAAAGGGAGGACTCCCAGGGGAGCCCCCAGAGCGAAGGTTTCTGGCAAGGGTACCCGTGTACGGGACTCATGACGGAGGACGTAAGTTTTGGAAACGTCTCAAGACCAGTGCGCAGAAAAGAGGTTTTCTGGAAAACGCCATTTTCAAAGCACTTTATGTTCTCCGCAACAACGAGGGACGTATTATTGCGCTACTTTGCACACGCGTAGATGACCTGCTGTGGGCAGCCGAGCCAGAAGCAGAGCCTGTCATCGAGGAATTGCTGAAGGAGTTTTCGTGCGGAAAAGTAGAGCGAAAAACTTTCCGTTACTGCGGGAAGGAAGTTTCCCAGGCAGATGATTACACTATCACTGTCACCTGCAAAGAAACGACATTGAAAGTTAGGAGGATTTTTATTGCCCCTAAACGAAAACCCGGTGAGCCCTTGACTGATAAAGACAAGCTACAGCTAAAAAGCGTAGCAGGAAGTCTGTCTTGGGTGGCGAGGCAATGTCGTCCGGACTTAGCATATCGAGTAAGTCGAATGCAGTCCGCTAGCGCAGGAGGAATTGTAGCAGACCTTCGAGAGGCGAACAAAGCCGTCGACTATGCGTTAGCGACGCCGGATAGAGGTTTGACTTTCAGAGCAAACGTTCTGGATTGGGACAACCTTATTTCGTGTGTCATCACTGACGCCAGCCATGCAAATGAGAGTCAGGTGATGAAGGTCAAAGGTGAGGATTCTGTGGAACCTTACCGAAGCCAAGGAGCTAGGTTGAATGCCCTTGGAACCCCCAGTTTGATCTCATCAGATGAAGGGCATATGCACCTCATCAGTTACGCCTCAAGGAAAGTGCGTAGGGTCTGTAGATCCACGCTGCAAGCCGAAGCCTATACCCTGCAGGCAGGAGTTGAAGAAGGCGATAGACTGCGAGCTGCCGTCGCAGATCTTTTCGGCAAACTTGACCGCAAGAAGTGGGAAGCATCTTCTGCGGCGTTTATGAGGCAGGTGTGGTTTACGGATTGTCGTAGTCTAAGTGACACGCTCCGAAACCCTAAGATGAGCAAGCATGAGGATAAGCGACTCTCTATCGAGATCGCCTCAATGCGAGAATCCCTATGGAGAGCAAAGGGAGAACAATACGGCGATCCTTATTATCAGGACGACCGTCCAGAAGAGCCAACGGACGAAGTTCGCTGGATCGACACAGACGTTATGGTAGCAGATCCACTGACAAAAGTCATGGAGAGCACCAAGTTAGTTGAGTGTTTGTTCACTAACTGTTTGAAAGTCGAGCAGCCGATTGAGTCCGTGATCAAGAAAAGGGCTAAGCAGCTTCAGAGAAGAAAGACTGCAGACCCTGCGGACGGGCTGGAAGTGATGGATTAGATCCACTCTTCGTTTGGACCTTGTACAGGCCAGGCTTCTACGCCAGAAGAGTCACGGGTGTGAAATAGTCCTTGTAGACCAGCGCGTACGAAGCCTGTTAGGTAAAAGCTACAGCACTCATGTACAGTCAGAGTCTGTTTGCCGACCAGTTTTGACAGCACCGACTCACCGCAGGGGCCCCTTTTTGGAGCCAAGGCTCAGACGGGAAAACGGCCAGTTTTCACACCCATAATATGCTCTTTCCGTGCATCAGGGTGTCGGGCTATAAGGTCTGTCAGGATTCTGGGTGCTAAGGGTTCCGTTCCTTACGTAGCCTAGGACCCAGAGTAGGCCCGCATTCCCCTGCTTCCCTTATGACCCTAAACCCTAAACCCTTTTTGAGGGTTTAGCTTCCCTTATGACCCTCTTTAAGCC